TTGTCACTCTCTTGTGAACTGCTATTTCTGGGGTGCCTTGATAGTCGAAGCAGACTTTGTGCTGTTGAGGCTAGAGAGGTGAGCAGAGTAAGCCTCATTCCCCGTTTGGACTTCTCTGTTGACATTCACCCCTTTGTGCTTATTTACCTTACGTAGTTGCGAGCGCCGTAAAACCTTACTAAGACTAAACTATAGAAAACAGAACATTTGATCTCTTTCGCAACTTTTCTTTTTGGTCATTTCAGTTTCGATTTTGCTAACCTTTAATCCTTTTGGACTGTGTGTTGTCTTTTTTTTCAGGTCAAATGCTAGACTTTCATTTTGCATTCTGATTGGACTTTAGTTTTTCCTGGCATAAGTGGCTGATAGTTTCCTTCTCTTTCTTTCTTATTCCACGTGATTGTCATTTTGTTGATGGAACATAAAAAAAAAAAAAAAGAAACCTTTAAAGGACTGAACCTATCTCATTATAATTTATTTATGCCAGAATGGCTAAGAGTTGGTGCTGCTACAATCCCAGTCTGTTTTTAAAATGTGAAATGTGACTTATTTTAATGGCTCAGCTTAAATCACCAGTGTGCAAGAAAGTGAAAGGAACAACTGTATAGATTGTCGGACAAATTTGGTAAGAAATGTCATTGGCTGCAATTGTGTGTGGGCTAGGAGTTGGACTGATGTCAACATTTTTTAAAAGAAAGTGACTTTGTGGTTTAGGAGTTGGAAAGGTACTCATTGAGAGGTCTTAGGTCATAATGTTGAGAAAGAGACTAAATCTTGGTCCACACTGTAAAAAAAAATCAACTATTGTTGTTATTTTTGTTAGTGGTTGGTGGGTGCTCTAGTATGGTTTGTTTCTTCTTTCCTATCAAATATCTATCGTTCTTATCTCTCCTTCTTATCTTTGTGTGTTACTTTCTAGCAGTGGTGACACCCCTAAAGTTTGGCACATATTTGACCTATCTATTCGTGTTGTCATGTCGCAAGTGCGGTAAAACTCTTACTAAAACTTAAAAAACCACTTAAGTAACTTTTTCTAATTGTTTTTGGGTTTTTTTTCCTCCTGCAGTTGTTGAGTCAGTTAGATAAGCTGAGTCTGTTGTTGTGCCACAATGCCACTGCTGTTCGACACATGACTTCCCGGGTTCTGGCTGCCCTCAGCCTGCGCAGCACTCTCCAAGTCATGCATTATGTGATAGAAAACGTTCTTCCTTTCCTCGGCGCTACCGATGACGAGAACAGGCGAGAGGGTGCCACCGAGGCTGTTGCCAGTATCCTTTGTTGTTGCTGGGGATTTTTTGTTTTTATTTTTGTTTTTGTTTTTTTTTTTCTTGTGTGAGGCTGGTTTTTTTTATATTGCTCTGATTGTATATACATACACTTACATGTTTTTTCACTGCTTTCGGTATGGTTTTTTATCCTGCTTTTAACAGACATGTCCCCATAAAAGATCTCAAATCCTAATGTAGATGGTTGGCGGGTGCTCTGGTGTGGTTCGGTCCTTTTTTCATATTAAACCTCTATTGTCCTTATATGTCTCTTTCTTTCTTGTATTTTTTACTCTCTTGTAACACCTCATATGTTTGGCACTTATATCACCTAATTGTGTTACAAAGGCCTTAAACTTTTATCAAAACAAATAATCCTATTGTCAATAAAATTTTGTTGGTTATTGCTTTAGTCGACATCATGCAAAAGTGTAGATTAACAGTTAGGTATGATTGTGTGATTTTACCTTTTATTACTGGGGAAACAGCCAAAATGGCAGTTATATTAGAATTTCTAATGATGTTTTAATAAAGGTGTAAAATCAATTGTTCTTTTCCAAATACACACAAACTGTGTGTATACATTCTTCTTCAAAGTTGTATGAACTCCAATCGTAACTAGCTTCCTTGTGTCTCAATCTACAATTTTGAAGGGATCTTGTGTAGATTTATAAGTCAAACCAGACAGATTTGGGCCATGTTGCTGGTTGGATTGCCTGGAATAGGTGGCTACTAATGGTTTTAATTCACCCTAATTCCCCCCCCCCCCCCCCCAAAAAAAAAAAAAAGAAGCCACTCTGAAGACCTGTGATGTATTTTCTTAACTGATGATCCCAGACATTTTGGATTCTCTGAGCATTGATTCCCTGCCCTATGTTGTGGTGCTGGTTATTCCTATACTGGGCCGCATGTCTGACCAGACGGAGGCTGTGCGGCTTATGGCCACTCACTGTTTCGCCACCCTGGTCCGACTCATGCCACTGGAGGTTAGTCTACACTCTTCGCGTTGTTGTTGTTGTTGTTGTTGTTGTTGTTGGTGGTAGTGCTGCTGGTGCTGCTGCTGCTGTTGTTAATGTTGCTGCTGCTGGTGCTGCTGTTGTTGTTGTTGCTGCTGTTATTGTTGTTGTTGTTGGTTGTGGTGATGGTGCCACTGCTGCTGTAATTGTTGTTGTTGTTATTATTGTTGTTGTTGCTGCTGCTGTTGTTGATGTTATTGTTGTTGTTGCTGTTGTTATTATTGTTGTTGTGGTTGTACAGTTTTGGTCATACCTTAAGTGTCTTTTGAGTTTGGCCCCACCCTGAGTGATTGAGTATGACACCTCTGGTTTATATAATAATAATGTTACGTTGCAGGCTGGCATACCAGACCCACCTGCCACGGAGAGCTGGCTGTCTGAGCGCAAGGCGAGAGAACGGAAATTCCTGGAGCAGCTGTTTGACATGTCGAAGCTGGACAGCTACAAGATCACTGTGCCAGTCAATGCTGAGCTCCGCAAATACCAACAGGTGTGTGCATAACTTAATGGTTCTTGTTTTGGATGATTTTTCGAATTATATATAAAATGTGCAAATTTGGTTTTGGATGATTTTTCGAATTATTGATTAAATGTATTAAATGTATATATTGTCATATTAATAATGAGACTGAGATTTTTACAGTGAAATTTATAACCTTTTAATCTGATCATTGATCAAAACCAAGGCGTGCTGTGAATGCACCCAATTTGTGTTTAACGCCTCTATCATCAGTGTCACGTTATTTAAGAGGAGGGACCTCCAAGTTTAATGTCCAACTCTGAAAGGATCGAGCCAAATAGGAAATTTATGTGAAGTGCCTTTCCCAAAGATACAACGTAAGACCGATATGAGGCTTGAACCCCCGAACTCGCAATGTCACGATTAAGCATCTGGTAGCTAAACCACTAGTCTACCGACGTCACTTGTTTGTCTCTTGCTTTATTTATTATAACACCTTTCCTTCCGTCTCAAGCAATACACGACATGTACAATTCCAGGATGGTGTGAACTGGCTTGGCTTCTTGAACAAGTACAAACTGCACGGCATTCTCTGTGACGACATGGGCCTGGGAAAGACCCTGCAGTCCATCTGTGTCCTGGCCACTGATCATCTAGAGCGAGCTGACAGACACAAGGTTAGTGGGTGGTTGTTGGGTGCTCTGGTGTGGTTCTTCTCCCTCTTTCCTATTAAACATCTATCGTCCTTATCTCCCCTTCTTCTTTTTTATGTTTGTTACTCTCTTGTGACACCTCTAATCTTGTGGCGCTCATATGACCTTATGCAGTTGCGAGCGCTGTAAAACCTCTACTAAAACTAAAACTAAATCTATCGTCCTTATCTCTCCGTCTTCTTTCATTTGTATGTAACTATCTAGTAACGCCTCTAATTTTTCAGCACTTATGAGACATCATTGTTGCAAATGCTGTAAAACTCTTACTAAAACTAAACTAAAAGACACAAGGTTAGGGATATGTATCCCCTTTGTGTGTGTAGCTGTTTATTACTATACTTATTACAATATATGTCACAATGTGGTGGAATGAGACACTCATCAATTTTCGCGCATGTGGTGCTGTTGGTATCATTTTAAAGTTTGTTCATTTGTCTTGCTTTTGATGAAAAAAATTGTCCTTCTATCTTGAGTAGAAGTCGAGATATTTGCAATAAACAAGTGGCTATTCTCCAGCGTTGCACCGGTCAATAAATCAATGGCTATTCTCAGGCATTACGTATAGTTGGACAAGCTGCTTCCTTGATTATGGGTGGACAATTTCGATTATACAAAAATACAACTGTTCTTCGTAGAATGGTTGTGATGAGAGAATCATAACATGACAAGATGGATGAAATGCTCTTACATATTTGAGGCGTGCTTACTAAATGAGTTACTTCTCGCAATCCACGAATGAAGATATCAGCTGAAAATTTGACATCAAGTTCAAAATTGTAGATTTTTGGTTGATGCTACTTTCTGCCTGTTTAACGTGTCTTTTATTCTTTAACACTCATAAACTGTACAAACTCCTCCTATAAATTTGACATAATTAAATATCTATTTCCATTAGGTTAAAACCGGAGAAGTAACACATTTTGTTCAGCGTGCCTCACATTTTCATGATGTCTCCCTTCAGGAATCCCAGGACCCCGACTGCAAGCCCCTTCCGTCCATCGTTGTCTGTCCCCCGACCCTGGTGGGTCACTGGGTGTATGAGGTGAACAAGTTCATTGACCTGACCTATCTCAGCCCGTTCATGTATGTCGGCCCTCCTGCTGAGCGGCTAAGGTGCGTGCCATTCTGTCTAGTTTTAATAAGGTTTTACGGCGCTCGCAACTGCATTAGGTCATATGAATGTCAAGAGGTGGATGTCAACGGAGAAGTCCAAGTGGGTGGTTAGCGGGTGCTCTGGTGTGGTTTGCTCCTTCTTTCCTATCAAACATCTATCGTCTTTATCTCCCCTCCTTCTTTTTTATGTTTGTTACTCTCTTGTAACACCTCTAATCTTCTGGCGCTCATATGACCTTATGCAGTTGCGAGCGCCGTAAAACCTCTACTAAAACTAAAACAAAGAAGTCCAAACGGGGAATGAGGCTGACAAAATAATTGAATTATAGTAGCAATGCCTGCTTTTAAACATTGCCGTCAATGGAAATATTATGTTGTGTAGATCTTGGTGAAGAAATCAAACAAGACAAAATGTTGGTGGAAAAATAAATGTTATGGTTTGTAGGTAATCTCTTCAAACAGGCTCCCAAATGCCATTTTCAACCCTCTAAAAGCACTAAATTTCAATTTCCCCCAGACCCAAGACAGAATTTTCCTTACTTTTCAGCTTCAGCTGGTGGAAGCACTGTATGTATTTCATTTTTTTTTTTTTTTTTTAAATTTGCCTTATCGGCCATGTCATGTGAGGTGTCAGTGGAAAATCAGTCTGATATATCTAGTCCTGGAAGTGAGCTATCTCCGAATAAAGTAAAGCAATTGGATTTTTCAATGGAAAATGAGTTCTGTGTATTTTAAAGTTTTAAACTTCAACGTTTTATCTACACTTCTGAAAATTAAATAATTCAAAAGCTAATAGAAATGTTTGGGTATTTTTAATAACCCTTTTTGAAGAAAGTGAAAAGTCCCATCTTCAGATTTCTCGGAAATGGGTGCCAGGGGGATGATTAATTTAAAAAGCTTACATCTCAGCTTCTAATCAACACATTTGAAATCAGTAAAGGCCTATTTACTCAGGAGGTAATGTTTATTTATGAAGATGTAATAAGTCCATATAGCTAGTTTCGCAACATGTGACTGATTTTACTCATGCATGGCACCTCACATTTGTAATAATACTGAATACTCTAAGGCAGTGCTTTTTGAGTCTTTTTGTTTGTTTGTTTTTTGTTGTAGGGAAAATATGTATCTTCAATGTTAGGTACCAGGTGACCCAAAAAAACCTTTACCCTCAGAGACACCCATAAAAACGGTTGTACTAGAGATAGAAACACAAGATTTCACAGACGTATTTGGTCACCATCCGCATTTATAGAGACAAATTATAAATAAAAACTCCAAGTTTGAAGAAAGTTTAAGCAAATGCTCCATGTAACCTCCGTTTCGGGCAATACACGCTCTGAGGCGCTTGGCGAAATTGTCTACGACATTTTCTATTTGCTGAACCTTTGATGTACCCGGATCTTGTACGGTTTCAACTTCAGATCGTACTTCAAGATGGGCCGAACAGATTCTCTAACAATAGTTAATTCAAGACTGTGACGACGAACTGGCTTTTTAGGTCCTTCCCTCCATCCCCACTGTCACATTCTCAGGAGTGCGCACTTGCTCCAGTCTCCCTCTGTGGGTGACCTTAGTTTTTGATCTCTTGTTTTTATTTTCAACAGTCATGTGACTTGAAGTCAGCCACCCTCTTTAGTATTGTTACTTAACTTGGTATTTTTTTTACAGTCTTTGGTGTTAGTTTTAAACCGTTTACATAGGAGATTCTGTGTCTGCATTGGGGACTTTGTATCGGAAAATGTTTCAAGTCATAAAAGTATTTTGTACTACTGTGAACTGTATCTTTGGACTAGCCATGGCTGCTTCAAGGTACTGTTGTTTCTGTTACATGTTTCTCCTTCCGGATGGTTCAGCTTGCTTCCTGTCAATTTTTGTGCGAATTGTGTACTTGGGTGGAGAGTTATAAGCTTTCCCGCGGGTAAAGGTTTTTTTTATGGGTCAGTAGGTACTTAATTGCCTGTATACACTAGTTGAACTTAGTAATACCAAAGATTGTAAATAACAAGATGGGCCACTCAGCCAAAAAAGTGTCCGCAGGAAGTATGCTCTTTGCTTCAGATGGCGCTGCAGTCTGTTTTGAAGCTCTCTTTCGTTTTTCCAGAAGAAGAATAGGAATAGCACCTCCTTGCGTGCGCAGATCGACTGCTGTTCATCAGCAGTTCGGGTACGTTCAGTGCGGAGTTTTAGGTTTTTTTATATTTTAATGACCTCTCGCCCTTCATTCTAAAGTCAAATTAAACGAAGAATACCATCTCCTTTTCCTCCGGAAGAGGTTTTTTGTCAGCGTAACCATTTTTAAAAAGAGTTCTTCCGAAATTTATCCCAAAATTTGCTAGTTTTACTTTGATTTTTAAAAACTCAAGTAGGGTAACTCTGTTCGCAAAGAGGGCGCCACCAAATTTTGAGGACACTTTTTTAATTGGCTCAAAGAGAGAAGTGGCCCATCTTGTCTTGTACTATCTTTGGTAATACCCATGTGTCAACTCCAGCAAAACAGAGCGTTCTCAATATTTTCAGATTGCAGAAACAAGTGCCCCAACACAACCTCATTGTGGCGTCCTATGACGTAGTGAGGAATGATATTGACTTCTTCAGGTGACTCTTTCTGTTTCTGTTTTAGTTTTAGTGAGAGTTTTATGACACTTGCAACACAATTAGATTGTATAAGTACCGGTTGTTTCTGTATAAATATGCAAACATGGGTGTGTTTGTGAGAGTGTTTGTGTGTGTTTGTGTATGTATCTGTGTGTTTGTGTGTGTGCCTCTTTTTGAGCTGCCTCTCATTATGTGTGTGTGTGTCTGTGTGCGTACGTGCATGCGTGCGTGTGTGTATGTGTGTGTGTGTCTACATCGGTTAAGCTGTCTCTAATCAGTCCTAAGTCAGATTTCAAGTACAGTCAAAATTGTTCAAGATGGCCGCCCATTATTAAGAAGAAAAGTGGTGGTCTTAGACAGGTTGCGTCTTGGACCGTGTCGTTGTAATGTGAAAAAATGCAAGGAGGAAAGAGGTCATTTGTACAATTGATTGTCGTGGATAGGTGGCTGATAGAGCAGGCTGTCTTTTTGTACCTATTGGGGGCTTTTTTTTTCTTCTTTTTTTTTAGAACTAGGCTCATTTTGCCAAAATGAAATGTATTCAGAAAGAGAAATACTTAAAAATTATGTTACTTTGTTGAAGATTTCCCACTTTAATTTTTGTTTTGTTTTTAAGGAAATTGCTTTTTATTCTTTTATTTACTTTATTTTATTCAAAAAAATTGTTTTTTAATATTTCACAGTTCTGTACGCTGGAATTACTGCATTCTGGATGAAGGTCACATAATAAGGAATGGTAAAACAAAGGTACCTAGGAATTCTTTAACATAATAATGTATGTTTCAAAGTTTTCCTTTTTTTTTCCCGTAAAAAGTTTGTGGGATTGTTTGTTTCGTTATGATTCTGAACTGCGATGGTTGTTAATATATGTCCTGTTCGTTACTTTCCTAATCTAAAATGTATACCGTTTATTGTTGTATCATGAATCCCTTACTGACATGTATTTGGGGTCAGGATGATGTATAACGGATTGGAAGATGAAAATGGAATTTTGTGGGTCACTGATTGTCATAAAAGAAATGCACAGGATTTTTAAATTTAAAAAAAATTTTTTTTTTTTTTGGGGGGGGGGTTGTTTTCATACTTTATGAACGAAAGAGTTTCATTTACAATGAGCATGCTTCTTCCTTGCCTCTTTGAATCCAATTTATACATGGTATCCTTTTTCTGCAGCTGGCCAAAGCTACAAAGCGGCTGATCTGTAACCACCGCCTGATATTGTCTGGCACCCCTATACAGAATAATGTGCTGGACCTGTGGTCTCTTTTTGACTTCCTCATGCCTGGATTTTTAGGCACAGAGAAGCAATTCCAGGCCAAGTATGGCAAGCCCATTTTGCAGAGTAGGGATGCCAAGAGCACTACCAAAGAGCAGGAAGCAGGTGAGATTAAAAAATTTATTTTTATTGTTTCAGGTACTAATACTTCTCTGCGGTAAACTGACAAAACGTTTTTTTTTAATTCACTGCAGTTTTGAAATGAAGAGGGGTTTTTTTGGTCAGCGTAGCCATCTAGAACAGGCCTTTATTCAAAATTTTGATTCAATTTAAAAACTACTCCTGTTTCACTTTGATTTTTTCACACAAGTAGGGTAACTGAACAGACTTTCGATTCAACAAATACAATAATTTGGCGCCAAAAACAGAAAAAAAGGCGTTTTGCCAGCTTTCGGCAGATTTCTGATGCTTTTTAAAAAAAGTTTCAGTGTAATATACAGCTTCTTTCCATAGTACTCTCTGACGACAAGAATAGAGGGTGTGGACAGGTGCCTGAGTTCAGTCTGTTTCATCTTCCTTTTTACGGTGTTGCTGTTTTCTCAAATCCTGATCCTCGCCAAGTGTGTCATGATAAGCTGCAGGTAATTACAACTTAACAACAAAGGAAGCAATTAGAATGAAAATGACGTGAGTCTTTAAAACTTCCCCTGAAGTTCAGGATTGTTAAATGACATTAAAAATAGTCGTCTTGGGTTGTGTTTGTTGAGTGGTTTATTTTATACGTGTTTTATTCTGCAGGAGCTCTTGCAATGGAGTCGCTGCATCGTCAAGTTCTGCCTTTCATTCTCCGCCGGCTGAAAGAAGATGTGTTGCAGGACCTGCCCCCGAAGATCATGCAGGATTACTACTGTGACTTGAGTCCATTGCAGGCATGTCCAGACATTTGATGCTTTCCATTGTTACACTCTGACTGTGTGGCTTGGAATAAATAAATATATAAATAAATAAACAAATAATTGAAGAAATAAACAAATAAATAAATAAGTAAATTTAATGAATGAATGGTGAATAAATAAGTAAATAGTAAATAAATAAATGAATGAATAAATAAATAAACCTACTTTCACTTTTTTCTTTCCTTTCCTATTAATTTGATTACTCACTGTACCATTTTTTTAAACTGCACACCTTTGAAGGTTTGCCAAAAGCATACATCTGGGTATATTACATAATCTAAAAGTGTGAGCTGAGCTGTTGATGCAGTAGTTACCGACATGGTAGGATGTGGGTGAATAGAAATTTCTTATCAGGTTTGCTGTTGACTTAATTCAAAAGCAAGGATATTTTTATTGCACCCATTAACAAATAAAACCCAGGTGACTTATTGGTCCTGATCTGTGGAGAGTTACTCTGAGTGGTGTCGGTGGCCCTGTGGTTGGGCTACCGGATCCATAATTATGAGATTGCCGGTCTGGGGGTTCGAGCGTCAGCTCAGTCCGATGTTTTGTCCTTGAGAAAGGCGCTCTACACAAATTTCCCTCTTGGCTCTGTCGTTTAGGCGATGGATGTTAACTCGAAGATTCCGCCTTTTAAATAACTTAATAGTGTTGGTAGGGGCATTAAATTTATACCGTTTCACCATTTTCAGAGTTACTCTGCTCTGAATGTGTTTTGTGTTAAATGTCTTGCCAACATGTTATTGAAAAATGTCAAAAACAATTTTTTTTTGGGTATGTGAGAGGAACTTTGTTGAAGGATAAACTGCATAGATTTTCTTGTTTTGATAAGGTTTTTATTAACAGAGATAAATATTAGAGAAAGTTTTGTTACAGTAAATCTTTTTTCTGATATTATTCACACCCAGTTCCTTCTTTTGACAATAAGAAACAAATAATGTCATGACCTTTCAGGTTGAGTTATACGAAGACTTTGCAAAATCGCGGGCCAAGCGAAACGTAGACGAGACTGTGAGTGGTGGAGATGAAGGAAAGGAAAAGAAAGCATCCAACCAGGGCACCACACACATATTCCAAGTAAGTCGTAGCCGTGCACAAATACCGTCGAAATTGTCCAAGACAGCCAGCCACCCACTGTCGAGGAGAAAAGTGGTTGTGTTATACCCAGTGCCCATTAGCACGATCAATTCGGTTCGGTTCAGTAGGCGGGGCTAGCCAGATTGAGGGTGAAAAGCGAACATCGTGGCATAAACCAAACGAAGTCGACGGTGACCTTCAAAAACAATCGCTTTTGGTTTCAAGGCCGCAAGTCGGGTGATGGGTTTGTGTGAAAGTACATTCCCTCTGTGGGCTCTGGGTATTAGGAAAAAACGTAAGAGGAGAAATGAGAAGTTGTTTGGACAGATAATTGTCTTGTGGCAGTTGGAGAAAATTAGTTTGATGTAGAATGTTTCACTCACTACTGAATTCTAAATGTGGTCTCTTAGTGGAACACCAAGTTTACAAATTTCAATGTTTTTTTGTGGTGAAACATATACCATTCACATTATGTTCTCATAGCAGTTATCAGGTGTTATGTTCACTTATGTAGCTTCCATGAGTTTGCATATATTGCTTTAATGGTGGGCTTTATTTCTGATTTTTTTATTCAAATAAAGAGTAAAAAACAGTACATGTGACGAAGCCATTTTACATTTAATTCTGTGGGTTTGACATCTGCATACGAATTGTTTAGATTTTGATTCTTTGTACAGTACTTTGAGATGGGCATGATTTATTATTGCTTTTTTATCCAGGCTCTTCAGTACCTGAGAAAGGTGTGCAATCATCCGGCTCTGGTGTTGAATCAATCCCATCCAAAGTACAAAGAAACTGTTGCAAGTTTACAGCAACAAAACAGCAACCTTCATGACTTGACTCACGCACCAAAGCTGAATGCTTTGAGGTAAGCACTTCACTATTTCAAAGAGATTTGTGTTGATCCAGTGTTGTTGTTGTTGTATCGATCCAGAAAGAGATTTAATGGTATTGATATTTTGGTCCAGTCATATGTGTGATGGTAAAAAATGAATGCTGTTTTACGGAATCATATGTCTGGAATACACAGAATCTCTGCTCTTAAGTATATCTTTAACTCTTTATCTCCAGAGGGGATTTTTTTCTAAACTAAGCCAATGCCATCTTTTGTTACGTAACCTAAAAGTCTCTTTACACTGAAATCTACACAGCAATGTATTTTCAATGGGGCATAAAAGGTGTTGAGCCAAAAATGTAAGATTTTTAGAAAAATTGCAAAACTGGAAGGGAAAAAAATTACAGTTTCTTTGATTTCATTATTTTGACGAGCGCCTGATTTCACCACGATACCTCACAATTGATTTTACAACATCTTTCCAGGCAACTGCTGAACGACTGTGGCATTGGTGTGGCGGGCAGCGTACCTGGAGGCGGCGGCATTAGCAGCAGCAGCAGCAGCGGTCCCTCAGGGGGTGTGGACAGTGTGCCAGTGGTCAACCAGCACCGGGTGCTTCTTTTCTGCCAGCTCAAGAGCATGCTGGACATTGTTGAGAAAGATCTGCTCAGGTGAGTCGCGACCCCAGTGTTTTCTTGTCATACGAGGGGCATACCAAAAGTTTTTTATCTGACCATGAAGGAATAAAGATAGAAAGCTGATATTTTGGGTGAAAGCCAACAATCATCTTCCCAGAATGTTTTTAACTTTTGGGGAATTTCAGATTACTGGTTTTTACCACAAGCGTACTGTAAGTGAATGGGGTATGTTGTTCTCCAGTTTCAAAATAAAAATGGAGAAACTTGAGCGCAGGGCTGTAATGGAGTATTTGTTCTTGCAAGGCATCCAAATACAGGATATTTTTACGGTGATGCATGCCGTATATGGACCTGATTGCCCATGCTATGCTGTGATATAATTAATAGTGATGATGAGGTCAAAGGAGCGGTAGAGAGATGGTTTTCTGACAAAGAGAAGGTACTCTATTCTCAAGGTCTTTTCAAGGTCATACACAGGTGGCAAACATGTATAACTCTGGGGGACAACTACATAAAAAAAAGACTAAGCTCAGTACCAAATTTCAGCTTTTTACCTTTATTCCTTCATGGTCAGGTAGAAAACTTTTGGTATGCCCTTCGTATATCCACTTTTAATAACAGAGAAAACAGTTCAGTATCAAAGAGAGAGCTTAAGAAGATGTCGCATTTTCATTGTTGAAAAAAGTGGAGATACGACAAGAAAGCACTGAGGTCGCGGAGTGACAGAGCTGTGCTGTTCTCACCTTTTCCATCTCATTTAATGTTATTTGCTCACTTACTTATTCTATTCTTGTAGCGTGGGGTACTCAAAGGAGAGAGAGAGCAGTCGACGGCACCCTTGATCGTCCCTGGCCACTCCCTCTAACCTTGACCTATCCGGTCCTTGGGTGATTGCCTCAACGCGGATCGTATTTTTTATACTGCTGTTTGGTCTACATCTTCTTCTTCTATTTCCAATTGGTCTCCTGTATTTCATGTTAGGGGATGTTTCTTTTTCATCTGTTTATTCGATCCAAATAATTATGTTGTCTTTTGGGGCTTTATCTAAACAAGTTTTCTTCATTTTCATGTTCACATCTTTATTCTCGGTATTCATTAGAAATAGAAATAATTTTATTTATTTTTAAAAATTTATTTTTTTACGAGTAGGTTAATTACTTAGTGTATTTTCTTTTTCTCCTTGAAATTTCAGGACACGAATGCCAAGTGTGACTTTTTTGCGCTTGGACGGCAGTGTTCCGGCTGGTTCAAGACATGACATAGTTCGCAGGTAAATATCGTCAAAATTGTGAGAGAGTGTAGTATTGATGTCAGAAAAGAAAAAAATAGTATTAGAATCCTCCTCACACAGATTTGACTTTGAAAACAAAAACACAGGAAATGTAAACTGTCGGGCTCAAGACAAATCTGTAACCTAACAAAATTTATGAGGTGTCTATTAAAAAACCCAAGGACCCATTTACAGGACAATAACTCAGTCATCTTTGGACCAATTTCAACTAATCTAGGAACAAAATAAAGTTCAATCAAGGGAACATTACATTTATCGATACAAAGAAAATCGGCGCTCATATGACCTTATGCAGTTGCGAGCACCGTAAAACCTCTACTAAAACCAAAAAGAAAATTTTTTAAATCAATAATCCTGTTCACAAGAAATATCAAGTTTTCAAAATTTCAACCTAAATGTAACATTGTTCACCTGAAGGATATGGCACTGCTGCAAAACAACCCCCCCCCCCCCCCTAAATCCCATATCAAAACGAGGAATGAGTTCTGTGTGTATCTTGTACGATACAACTTACTGCCTCTCAGATCTGTCTTACTGCGATGTGCTCCACAGATTCAACAGTGACCCATCCATTGACATTTTGCTGCTCACCACGCATGTGGGAGGCCTAGGTTTGAACCTCACTGGAGCTGACACAGTTATATTTGTGGAACATGACTGGAATCCCATGAAAGATTTGCAGGTGAGGTGTCCTGAACCCTGGGTGTCTCTGCTTACACATCTGACAGGCGGCAGTTTTTGGGTTGTTTTTTTTTAAAGATTTGGAACCAGGGGGTATAAGCTTTCATTCTCCATTTCAGGATGATCATCATCATCATTACCTTTCTGTATGCAGTAAACTGATCTCTAAATGGGTAGTTGGTGGGTGCTCTAGTGTAGTTTGATCTTTTTTTTCTGATCAAACATCTGTTGTTCTTATCTCTCCTTTTTTTGTGTGTGTTTGTTACTGTCTTGTAGCACTTCTAATCTTCAGCACATATATATGACCTAATTGTGTTGCAAGTAGCTTAAAAATCTTATTAAGACATATTCTTAAATTCCAACATTTCTGATAAAAACGGGTTGACTATCTGTGTGTGTGTGTGCCTGAAGGAAGGAAGGTCCCACTAGTCTGAAATTTTGGATATTAAAGTAAGGACATATTCTTGCAGCAAACTTGATGCTGAACGTGCTGATTTGTAAAAAAATTTCAGATGTCTCAAGAGTAGTTTTAAAGATATGCGCCATTTTGTGACGTAGGTTTTAAAGAAACTGAACAAGGGGCAAAAACTTTACCTTTGATTTTCTCAAAACGGTATATTTCGGGATAGCCCCCTTGTGCTTAAAAGCTACCAAATAGCTTTGCCGACAACTTGGACCTTTCTCTGGGCTTGCTCACATATTGCCTTAAGATTTTTTTGTTATTCTTATTGACATTTCTTCACAGGCCATGGACAGAGCTCACAGAATCGGACAGAAGAAAGTTGTAAATGTGTACAGACTGATCACAAGAGGAACTCTGGAAGAGAAGATAATGGGGTGAGTTCACTTTCTGAAGACTGATGTGTGGATGGTTGGCAGGTGCTGTGGTGTGGTTTGCTCTTCAAGGGATGCCGTTTTTCCGTTGTTTTGGGCATCGTTCGTTCTTATTGTTGAACTGATGTGATGTTTTGTTGCATTTATTACTTCTTCTCAAGCTAAATTTTGTCTCCCAAAAAATATTCAGTTATTTTTACAAAAGTCCAGTGGCATCCGTAGCTCCTTCTTTCCTATCAAACATCTATCAACCTTATCTCTCCTCCTCGTTTTTTTGTGTTTGTTACTCTACAGTAACACCTCTAATCTTCAGCACTTATACCACCATATTGTGTTGAAAGTGCCGTAAAACTCTTTCAAAAATATATATAAATAATGATATTAAATTATGTGTCTTGGCTGAACACTGTGAAATTGAATTTAGTTTTCAGAAAATGGATGATTGATGCCTTTCTGTCTAGATCTGTAGTCCATTCAGAGTTATTGGTTTCATATTAAAGCGTGTTCACTTATCTTGCTTTTGATGAAAAAATGTCTGTCTATCTTAAATACAAGTTGAGGTATTTGCATTTGAAGGAAGTGGAGGTCGCCTGGTGTCAGCGGTTAAATCATTGGAAAAAATGTCTGCCTACGTTTGGTGAATCCCAAAACTTAATTGTCTATTGTCTATGGAAAAGTCTACAAATTTACATTTTTTGTGCCTTTGACCAACTTTTTCCAGTAAAATCCACACAGAATTTAGAATTTTATTTTTAACCTCTTCACTGCTGTGTTGATGTATGCATATTTTTATGTTCTCCGAAATGGTCCACTACTATTATTTTTCAACTATTGGCATATAGAAGAAAGTTTTGGAGACGTCACTAGCACTTCTGCTGTCGCTTATTCTTATAAGGGGGAAAGTGCTACTGTGGCTTTGTATAGATCTCTCTTGAATAATAATTATCTATTATTCTTGTCTGTACAAACACATGTAGACATCGCAGCAGTGAAGGGGTTAAATTCACATAAAAGGTGATGAGCCCAAAAAAATTTTTCATGCTACTAAAAATAACCCAAGGGCGGACAATTATTGGTTTTACTATTTTGTTGAGCTTCTGGTTTCACCGGGATGACACACAATTATTTGTATTGAAAACGTAATATTTGATATCATTCTTCACAGACTCCAGAAGTTTAAGATGGCTGTTGCCAACACGGTGATCACTCAGGAGAACTCGAGCCTGCAGACAATGGGTACAGATCAACTGCTGGACCTCTTTGTCCTGGACGACAGCAAGCCAGGCTCGGGGGCCTTCGGTGACTCGGGAGCAGACGCGAAGGACAAGCGGAAAGACAACAAATCTGGGAGGAAAGAGAATATCCGCACCATTCTGGACGGTCTAGAGGAGCTCTGGGATGAATCTCTGTACGAAAATGAGTACAACATGGAGACCTTCATGAAGTCTCTAGGAAATGTTTAGGTGCATTAACAGGTGCACGCTCTCGTACGAACTCTTCTGCTTTCAACTAAAAGGAGTCTTTGTTGAAAGGTTTGGGGTTTTTAGCTCAGCTGTTTCAACCTATTTTTTATTCAGTCCAAATCTGTTCATGGAAAAAAATTATCCACTGTTGTGCTAAATGCATGATACTCTTTTTGACTCAGCAATGTTATGTGAGTTTGATCACTGGGTGTGTTCAGTTTAATGGTTTCCCCGTCATTGTGCGTGCACTCTTTAAAATTGTCAAAACTTAGGTCCTGTTACCTGTTGCTGAAATGTCCCATCATCATCAATGGTTCATTCATTTTACTTGGAATGATGTGTGAGTAAAGATGTAAGTGTCTCAGAGTACTCTTGATGTGGTGTTTCAAGAAGCGACCACTCTTGAATAATAGTTTAAAACGTGGGTTTGAACAGCTGCTTTCGGTGCAGAATTACCATTTTGTGCCACTTCTCTGCTTTCTTTTTTTTGTCGTTGTTGTTTTTTGTTTTGTTTTGCTTTTTGTTGTTATTTGGCCAGCTTGAGCAATCCCCCACCGACAAGTTATCTGTCTTATTTTGAGTTAAGATATTAAATTTGTCCTACGTTATTTTGGGTTTATTTGTGTCACATATATATATATATACATATAATTTACCAATTCGGTATAATGTGTGTAATATCACTTGTTTGTTCATCCAGTTTACATGAAGACAATATAATTCTATGCAGCTTTGACTTCATCTTGTTAAACTTTGATCTCAAAATTCCCAAAAGATATCCTCTGGTAGGACTCAATTTATATTGGTCGTTTGATTGAATGTCAAGAACCATGTTTATTGTGTGTGTCTGTATGCGTGTGTGAGTGTGTGTGTGTGTGTGTATGTGTGTCTGTGAGGGCAACGTGTAATACTAGTATATAGATGCTGCCTGCTCTGGATGTGAGTTCAGTTGTGAAAAGGAGAATATTTGGATATTTTAGAACTTTTTATCTGATGTCAGTGTACATTGTCTGCGAGATTTTTCAGCTGTTTTACTGTAGTCTAGAGAGCTTCAATGTTGAAACTTTGCTTTTTATCTCTCCAGTGTTTCAATGAAATGTTCCTTTTTTTTAATTGCCTTGAACATTACTGACATGAAATTTAATTTGTTTTCATTGGCTTATTCTTATATATTATAGCTCTCAGGTGAATCCAAATATATGGGCATGAACTTTCTGTAGTGCGTGTGCTCCTCAAGAACAATGGTTTACGTTCTCAAAGATTTCAATAGTTTTGTTTTACACAATCTCCTTGCATCACTTCCCAGTCCTTTGGTGTCCCTAGACTTGTAAGTACAGTTGAGATGATTCAACACAGCCACCCATTGTCAAGGAGAAAAGTGTTTGTCTTAGGCAGGGGGATATCTTGGGCAGTGTCCTTATAATATTTTAAAAAGCAAGCAGGAAAGGAGGAAGTGGTCGTTTGTACACGTGATTTATTTATACAGGGGCATTAGAGCAGGTTTGACTGTTCAAACGTAGTTAATAATTTGCCGTCTATTTGGGTCTTTGAGTTCTTTTCCTGTGACGTAGCGAGCTGAGACGGTGACAGTGAAATCAAGAGGCTGAGGACTTTCAATTAAACTACCGTGCTTTATACCGGGTGCAAATTGCAGAAGGATTCGTCAAATCTCCATTTGAAATTTGTGAAGGCTGCCAGGTTTTTCTTCATGAAGAGAAAAAAGGGTACCATTTTGGCACTCTTTGATTTGATCAGATCCTCCCAAATCAGACACGTTTGCTTTTCTTTGTCACTCTATGATACATTTGATGAAAACAAGCAATTGGAAGTGTACCATGCATTATGGACTTATATATTTTGTTTGTCCTCACAATGTGATAGGCTCTTATGGTATTCCTGTCCAATTTGATGAAGCTGAAAAGACATCACTTTGATATAGATCAACACCATCCCAAAGATGTATTAAACCATATCAATGAAACTTTCTGTAATAGGCACTGGGTATTAGATTGTTTGCCTCACTGGACTGTCTAGCCCAGTCTGACCTTCTTAAGTTCCTAAATTTTGATATCACCGGAGCAGGCTGTCAGTCTTGACCGGGTACTGTTTCTAATTGCAACTCTGCAAATGTTTTGGAAACAATGGCTATTTTGCAATGACCAATAGTGGCTGAACGGTGATAAAATGCTTTTGGAATGGAGAGGTTGCAGTTTAGATGTCTCTTTCACTGAGTAAGTGGGAAGTCCAGTACCAAATGGACAAGGAGACAGTTGCAGAGTGCTTTGGGAAACATTTGTGTAATGATATGCAGTGGAATCTGGCTGTAGTCAATTTATGGGCATGCAGAACTATTGCTATACATCATCATAAAGCTGGTTCATTTATCTATCTTTCAATGAACAAAATACCCATCTATCTTGAATAGAAGTCGATATATTTGCAACTGAAAGATGTGGTGATCACCTGCTTTCAGAGGTAACATTAGCGAGAAAATGACCGCCAAAGTTTAGTGACTTCTAAAGCTTGAGTGTCCTTATGAGCTGCAAATTTACATATCCTGGGCCTTTCATCAACGTTTATCAGTAAAATCCATACAAATGTGATTCTAAATGGATATTGAAGGTGTTGAGCTAAAAAAAAATTGAAAAAAAATTTACCTGCAGGCGGAAAACTGTTGGTTTCTTTGATTTCATTATTTTGACAAGTGACTGATTTCACCCTGGTGACATACATTTTGTTATGTCATATGGAAAGTCGTTTGAATATGTCCCAAGTTCTGCTAACATAGAAAGATATGTGAAGGGTGCTGACAAAATGAGTTACTTCTCGGATTCGAGACCTAATGAAATAGATGCGTTACGCTTATAGGTTAAGTTTTTACAATTTATAAGTATGAAATAATGAAAGACTTATCATACTTAAAAAGAATATGGCATCAATAGAAAATTATCTACAAATTTAACCTTGGTGTCGATTTTTGGTCAATATCTCCTTTTGTGGATTTCGAGAAGTAACTCATTTTGTCATCACGTCTCACATATACTGATATACTTCCTATTATGTACTAAAAGTTTCAAGGAGTAATTGGTATGTCTAGTACCCAATGGACAAATCAACAACTTCAAGGCTCATGAAGCAATATTGTTCTGTATTGTACAAGGAAAGCCTCAGGACTCTGTGAATACTTTGAGCATGATCAAAGTACAGGTCATCATCATCAATGCCTTTCACCCCTGGCTGGGTATAGGCCACATACAAGCTCTTTCCATTTATCTCTGTCCTGAGCCATCGTTCCAAGTGAGCTTCATTTCTCTCATGTCCCTTTCCACGCATCTCCTCCATGTTTCCCGTGGCCTACCCCTGCCTCGTGCTCCTTGTGGGATCCACTGCAGTGACTGTCTTGTGATGTTAAAGTACAGGTAAAGCTAACACAAAAAGATATGATTCCTTTCTGCTTTTTTTTTTTTCAAAGTTCCGAAAGTTGCTGTCCCCAAGGTGGTAAAGTACGAATGCTGTCGGCTTGGAGTCCAGTACTGACATGGACAGACGTGTTGTTTGTTACAGCATGATGTATTCTGTGTTATAATGCATAATTTTAGTTCATTCGATAAAAAAAAGGTTCAGCAAGTTTATTTTAGATGTTGGGTAATAATATACATGGCTTCATTCTTAGAATGATAGAAGTAGTTGTTTTAGTGGGGGGTTCATTTTATCGGATCCTCAAAAAGAAATGTTGGTGCAGGTTCAGAATTGTGAATTGGTGTAGATTCTTTTAGCAGATGAGAATATTTTCATAACTGTGTTCTGTTATGTAGCCGTCTTTCAAATCTCGCTGTGTGGTTATTTTCAGAAAAATGGAATCATGATATCAACCACATCTTTGTTTTCTAAAAATGAGAGTGAAGGAGGAAACTATTATATCATATTTTGCTTAGCCAAAGTGCTTGTGTTGTGGGTGACAAATTGTCCCCTTTCTTATCGACATGCCCATGTGACTCCACGAAGATAGGGATGAAATGGCATGCTCATCAAATTAAAATGTCCTTATTGAAATTCTGAATAAAAGCAACAACAAAAATAAAATAAAATGTATCTCCTTGTAAATAGAGTACTGTACTTTTCTTTCTTGTATTCATTGATAGTGTACACTGTTGTTTTTGACTAAGAAAGATGAATAAATAATTGGCATGATAAGTTGCAGTATGATGCTATCTTATTTGCTGTCATTTTGTTCATTTCCATTTCCTTTTCCCCCCTTCTATTCAGAAGACATTTTGAATTGACCAGTTGTCTTCCTTATCGTTCTGGCTTCCAGCTGAAAGAGAAACTTTATATACTATACTGTCCTTCTCTGCAGTGATATCTGTTAATTTTTTTCCAAACCTCAAGATGTGTTAATCTGTTATAAACTTTGTTACTTGGTTATATGCATATTGTCTCAGGCAAGCGCAATTTTGTTAGTTTGGATTTTTTGTTTTATTCTGTTTCATTTGTGGTCATATTGAAAAGGAATCTTCTCCACATTTCTGTTACTGTTCATGCCTGCATTCGTTTTGTTTCACTTTTCTCATATGAAGTCTACTCGATTTTGTTTTTTTGTCCCTGTAAAACATTTAATTATGTCGTTGAATAAATGTATTCTTGATTGAAAGTTGAATGTATCCGTTTATGTGTGATTTTTTGTTGTTTTGTTTTTTTCTCATTGTGAGTTTGTGAGTGTTTTGTAAAATTATTTTATTTAATTATTTCGAAAGCTACTTTTTGAGTTTTGTAGTTTGTGAGCTGAGTGTGTTATAACTTGAATGCTTTCTTAAATGTTTTCTTTTATTGTATTTTATGATTTGAAAATTGTATAATTGAACTTCTCAAAGGCAAAACTCACAGTACCCAAAGTTTTTTGTTGTTGTAAAACTGAGGAAATAGTAGAGATATGATGCAGGCAAACTCTGCACATATAGCAGCACAAAGATTTCTGATACCAAAGGAATGGGTTTTGATCAGTTTTACTGTACAGAAAACTAACTCAGTTATGTGTGGCTTGAAGCAGAAATTCCAGGAAGGAACATATTTGGTAACAAAATATTTACCTATTTTGGGTTTTTCCTTGGAGCTGTTCAGTTGTTTTTGTTTTGTTTTTTTGCGTTTTTTTCCTTTTTTTTTTCTTGTTGAGAAAAGCGTTGTAGGAAGCTAAATGGCTAAGAGAGCAATATTATGATTTGTTTTTGTTCATCTGTGCCCGTTCTCCGATATATGAAATAGACGAGGGGGTCACCAAACAATGGCCCACAGGCCCGATCCAGCCTATCGTGCCGGTTTGTCTGGCTCACTGCCAAACCATCATGTGAGGAAAAAAAACTTGGTAGATGAGATGTGCTCATAGTGTGTTTAGATTGGTCACCAAAATGATTTAAACAGTTCAATGAACACTACAGTGCAAACTAAACATGACTGTAACTTCTAGCTAATGAATCACACGCATAGAGAGGGAAAATTTGTTAAATTTTATTGCAGCTTCCTTGGTTATGAGTTTTTTAAGTTGAAGAAGTTTGCCTAAAGTATGGCGTCAGGTTTTGGAACAACTTACGTCTGTTAGAAAACGTTTTCAAAAGTGCATGTGAATTAAAGGAATACATTGAATGAGGCTGGCTGTTGAATGTTTGAAAGCAATCCTCTTGGTTGGATGAAGTTATCACAGAGTAAAATACTGATGATATCTTGAAAGCCAGATGCCAATTTTTCAAGTCTTATTATTTATTTTTTGGAGCTTGGTTTGTGAAATTCACATTTGGCACACGGGATGTGATATAACTATGTTGTAATTATAATACTTAATTTGATGATTTTTCGGTAAATGTGTTTGCTTTTTTGGCGTATTTTGTATTTTGTATAGGCCTGTTAATAAGCCAATACGTTGGTTGTCTTTATTTTTTTTATACATTCAACAAACTGTATGGAACAAGATATTAATCTGGCCCCTTTTCTGCATTTTGGCTGCTATCCAGCCCCCTTTGAAAATAGTTTGGTGACCACTGAATACACTGACACTTTATGGCAAAACTGACTTTCAAATGCCTCTCACAACTTTATTGAAAATGTGAGGCATCATGGTGAAATCAGGCGCTCGTCAAAATGATTAAATCAAAGAAATCGGCATTTTTTTTTCAAATTTTCTTTTTCTGGCTCAACACCTTTTACGTATATTTAAAAATATATTTTGGTGTGGACTTTACTGAAAAACATTGATTAAAGTCCCAAAAATGTAAATTTTCAGTTTCCAAGGACTCTCAGGTTATGAAAGTTTACAAACTTTGGCGGCCATTCTCTCGCTAGTTTTACCTTTGAAACCAGGCGATCCTGTCCTCCTTCATTTGCAAATATCTCAACTTCTATTTAAGATATATTTGTATTTTTTTTCACTAAGAGGAAGGCAAATGAACAGGCTTTAAGATTGTACCAACAACCCCATATGCCCAAAAATCGACGAGCGCCTGATTTTCATCTACTGGCGGGTTGAGGATTGGGAAGAGGATAGATGGGATGAGACATCAGGAGTCCCAAGATTTAAGAGGTTTTTGTTATATAAAGTGGTTTGAAAAATTTTACTTTGGTTATGTTTAGTTTCTAGCTTTTTTATGTCAGTCTTTTGATTTTGAGCACTGTACGATATCGAGAATAGTGACGAGCTTGCCATTGATTCATCTTTGTTGATAGTAGTCAGCTGCTGCTAACATGGGTCTATGAGGGTGCTATTCCTCCATTTCTATTGTCGATAATCTTCAATCCGTTCTTCAATCCATTTTGTCAAAATTCAAAAAACACTTTCTGACCTATGTGCCTGTTGAATTTTTTAACTTTGAACTTACTCTCTTCATTTAATTCTGAAGGTACAGTTGGATGTTTGAGGTTGGACTTCGTTCAGATTTATTGTGCGACTGCTTTTCTGTTTCATAAGATAAAGTTTAGTCAGATGTTTATTTCATAAATAAGCAGATCTGTTTTCTGCTGTGTGTGGATACACTGCACAGATTTTAAAGGAACTGGTCTAGGATACACTAATACTTTACTCTGTTTTTATGAGAGACTTTGCTGTTTTACACTTACAGTACTGTCAGCGACTTAAGTCTCCAGGCCGTAGTATGTGCTCACTATCGCTGGCGGCTTTAGTAGCTGACACAACCTGGCTCGCAAAACATAATTAAATAACAAACAGACACTCTGCACTGGAGTAAATCCTTAAGGAAGTCACTCTATTTGACAGCTGAATAGTTGATGAACCTCTATGAAATGTTAAAGAGTGTTTCTTGGGCTGCCAAGGTTGTTTTGTTTTTTTATTTTTTTAAAATGTAACACGACTTCAGCGTTCTAAACTGATGCAGTACCTGAGAGTTTCTCTCTATATGAGCCTTCGGTACTGTAAGTGTTAATGCTTTGACAGAAAATAGTGTAGAGCTCTTATTTTTTCCTCTCACAAAAGAACAATTTCCTATT